CTACTATAGTATTGTATACAGAGAAAGGATCCATTTATATAGCGCGCTCATAACTCAAATATTTGTATGAAACTTCCATTAACTAATCTGAGATGATACTGCATCAACTGAAATCTTATAGAAATTGAGCAAACATTTGGACCAGATTACACAGACATGGTTTCACCAGAATCTTACAGAACTCTCAGAGACTTAAAAAAAATTATTCTATACCATGTTTAAAAGGCATGGCAAACCTTAGACCGGTCAGCCTCCAAGAGCCTTAGTAAAACAGGTAGAAACCTTTGTCCATAATCTCTGATCCAGGCTATATACCACAATTTAAAAGAACAGAACACATATAATGTGAGACATAGAAGACACAAAACATATGCAGTAATTATTACACTGGATCATTTAAAAGGAATCTGTTGCAATAAAAAGGTTAGTTTACAGCGCAAAATGAAGCATGTGTTGGACCGCTGAAAATGTAAATGTTGCTCTTATTTACAAACAAAAATCATATTTACAGTATGGATCCGCTGCAACAAACACACAGGGCAGGGAAGATGTGCTGATTGGTGTTCTATACAATTAATCCCATATGGGGAATTAACTTTCAAATACTAATGAAGTGACTTTTGTCTCAGTTATAAAAATACTGAGCTCATCATGCAAACAATGTAACACATTTACACTATCCCACTCTCATAGAAAGTGTAGTGGGCTTATGGTATTAAAGCAACAATCATATCAGGCACACAGATCCCATGTGAAATAACTTACAATACAACAGAGTAATAAACTTATACTTCTATGCGACAGAAAGAATAAAGCAAAAGATTTAAGTAGGTCTATCAGGTACAACCTGCGAGTCAGTTCTTTTCTAATATACAGTACTGCTATTTTATATATATATATACGTGTATATATTGGTCACTCAGGACCAGAACTTACATTTCCCATACTGCTGACTCAGGGTGGACACACTACTAACTTACCAAAGTGTGTCCCCAATATAGACAATCACCCAATTGATGGAGAATCATTGTTTGCAATAAAGACATGGACACTACAAATGTGCTTTAACAAGATTCTCAGTGAGTATATTTTCAGGGTTAGCATATAAAGCAAAAAGAGTTTAACTATTTCATATCCTTACAGTCAGCACTAATGATTATAAACCTTATTTAAGCATAAAATACATATGAACAAGAAAAGTTAACTACTTCATATTCTTGCATGGTAATTTCCCATTCCTAGGACAAATCTTTCAAACACTTATTCACACTCACAACCAAACTTAACTAATGACAATTAGAGGGTGGACAAGGTGAACCTGAAACTCTGTGCACACTATCGTAGTATATTCACTTATATACTAAATTCTCTGTCTATATCACTTTATAGACTTTATCTGTCCAATTCTCTTATTAGACCTTCTCTAGTTCACTTACTAGAAATACATATATCTCTCTGTCTAGTTCCCTTACTAGACTAATGTAACGGGACCTTATGTAAAACTGAGTCACAGAAAACACATATACTAAATAACCTTTCCTAAAATGATGTAGACTTACAAAACCATGGGGATCATAGATTCAGGGTGTCAAGATAGACACAAGGAATTACTACTCACCCAAAATGGTTTTGGCTACAATCCCACTTTCTGACACCAAGCTGAAAGGTAAATCTGCTACTCTGGTGACTCGGTCCCTCTGGTCACTATTCTCCAACCCTCGATTGTCAGCTGAATATTCAGGGAAGATTTTTATGGAAGCGTATTAACCAGACGCACACTCTTTGCTTTCCATAATCTTCTGATCGTTTATTCAAGATTCGCTATATTTATACTATACTTGTCACAAAAAGGTTACAAAAGATACATAAAAGAGGAAGTAGTTTCTGCTGTTACATTCAATAATCTAATCTTACAAAATATCACATATACATTGTGGTTAGGCATTTCCTGATACATAGAAACTGTCATAGCTTGTGACTTCCTTTCAATTATGTTTTGCAAGCAGTTCTGAAATACTGACAGATTAATTGTTTAACCCCTTAAGGACCAGATTTCTGGAATAAAAGGGAATCATGACATGTCATGTGTCCTTAAGGGGTCAATATTCCTTCAGTTACACCTCTGTCTATTGATAAACAGAGTTAAAGAAATACTATTGTACCATAACAATTTTAGTTTTTCTAAGTAATTTGGGGAAATAAATCATGCTGTTGCATTACCACTGCTCAATTATTTGCCACTTATGAGCTGAATCACTTAGTTTATGCAGCCACATTTCATTTTCAAACTGATCTTACAGCACATTGGCCTCAATTCTGCAGCGCTGTACAATTAGTGGAGGATGTACAATATACAGAGACAAGTACAAAAGGTAGAGAGCGCCCCGCCCCTAAACTGATATCTAGCCATTTAAGCTTTTTTATACAAAGTGCTTAGCTAGATAGCCTGTGAGCTTAAAATGTAAATCTAAAGGATACAGTGGGAATTTGAGACAAGAGGTAGCAGGGGAAATTTGGAGGTGATGTCTAAAAGAGTTAACAGAGAGAAGCAGCTATTGGCAAAATGTAAAGGGAATGGAGAGGTAACCTCCTTCATTAGCATGCAGTATATAAATAAATCACTAACCAGAGTAAATATTTACGGTGTCCAGAAAAAGCAATGTGCTAATGTATTTCTCATTCCAGTATGCATAGATAGCACATTATTTAATGGGAAAAGAAACAAAAACATCGGTAGGACAGAAAAAAAAAACAGTAAACAAATAATGAAGATTTAATATTTTTGGATAACAATCTAAATTTAGCATGCCTCATATAATACAGATATGAGGCGTATGTACATTTCAGACACCAAAAAACTACAGAGAAACTTTAGATTAAGCAGGTGTTTATACCCTTTAAATCCTCAGTTCTCACGAGTGTAACGCTAGGTATAAATATAAAGAGTGAGTAAATCCATGTATATAGTGCTTTAAAGGCACTTACCCTCTATATTACACTTGTGTTTTCGTGTTACATATTGAGAGAAAAACAGAAAATATACAAATTATAGTGCAGTATATCAGAGAAAAGTCCCAGAAAATTCTTTTGTTATGTGAGTTATAAGTTTAAATAAACTCACATTTTTTAGAGCCTTTTACAGTTGTAAGGCTTTAAACTTCCAGACTTCTGTGTCTTTTTTGGGTAGATCACACGACCCCTCTCTCAAGGTAAAAAAGTGTTTGTTCTTCTCCACATTATGCAGAAAAAGACACAGATAATCCAATCTAAGTGTAGTATTTTAGATACTAATTATATCAATATAAATAAAATACAAGAGTGCTCACCTTGTTTAGAGCCTTTTGGTAACTGGCTCTAAGTGTATAAGCCTAGTGTCATTTTGTGGGGTGACACTGCCCCTCTCTGGATTCACTTGCGCAGGATACAAATTGATTTATAAGTATAAAAAATATATTTATTGAAAAAGATAATATTAAAATGTGTACATACTTTTTGCTAGAAAATAAAAATAGAAAAAAATTAAATCATATATGGGTAATACAAATGTATTAAGTGGTCTAATAATAGATCCACTTATTAGCCAAAATGTGTTTCACCGAAAAAACGGCTTCCTCAGTCAGCTTTAGATTGTGTCCGGTGTTCCCTTTCTTTTAAATCCTCAAATTGCCCGCCAAATCTCCTCCTCTCCATTCCGGTGTGCTCCGTTCGACACGGTCAAGTGCCGCTGCGTAACTTCCTGCCTTTCGTACTACATGTCCCATAATGCTATGCATACTTAGACGTCACTTCCTGTGGATTCCAATATCATTATGGGTAATGTAGTCATGAATATCGTCATTTTCAAGTTCTTATTTTGGTGCATAAACGGACTCAAATCATAATAACGAAAATAGCGGAATAAAGAAGAGAAAGCATGGAGAGGTGTATAAATGTTCATTATCCATATGTTAGACAAAAAATGAAAATAAAGAACGAATATAAAGATACAAAAGTCCTGGTGTATAATTATTTATAATTCACAAATGGTTTTTTGTTATATAAAATGTTACTATTTCCCAAAGAAGGGAATGATTAGATTAACCCTATGTTGGAATCCTATAAATGTGTTTTATCAATACAAAAAATAAATATTGCATTCAGATACCATTAGTGACATGTGTACATAAATTTAGCTTCTTACTATATATGTGACAAGCATAATTTTCATAATAGAAAACAATGATAGTAATGGAAGTGTATAGTTTAGATGACTATTGTGACAGACCCATCTGTATGGACTAAAAGTACTGTGTTCGTCTGTTTTGCCATTTGCATGAATTCCCCATTCGTTTGTTTAAGGGAATGTCTTTTTTTCGTCTAACGAAACTACCGAACGGATGGCCACCCAGAAGAGAAGTGTGCTGCTGGTTAACCTATTGATCCCAATTAGAACGTTGCGGTTAACCACAGACACTTCTCAATTAAAACCGAATACCGGGTGGTCGTCGTTCGTATGTCGACCACGAGGCGGCGGCCATTTTAAACCATGCGAAAGACCAGCGGTGTTCGACGGTTATTTCATGGAACTGAAAACGGACACTTTTTCAACCGAACACCAGCTGAAGCCGTCGACCTCCCCTTCTCAATCGACAAAAGAATACGAATGCCGGCCGTTCGGGAGATTCAACAACACGAATGGACTTAACCCAGATAGCCTTCCCATGGAGTCAATCGCATACCGAAGAACTGTAATAAACTTTGACTCCATGGCGATTGAACTATGCGAATGGGATCTGAGCGCTATTCGCCAATAATATGCACTCAGATCCAGGCTTTCTGGGGATGTGTTACACGAATGCAATATGTTCGGCAATTAGAAAGTTATATATTTTAATGTGTTTTATAACTTTGAGTTAAAATGGCGATTTGCCTCTGCTCGGGGAGATAATTGAATTACCTCCCAATTATCTCCCGAGCAGAGGGGAGGGAACTGTGATGCATGCTGGGAATATTGTGAGGATGTATGTCTGAAATGTCCCCATGTCCTTCTGTCATTTCAGTCTCCTATTTGGTCCCCTAGGGGAGTGTCCACCAAGTGGGAGACCTGCATAAATACCGGGCAGGTAGCCCACAGTTCGTGTTTTACCCTCCAAGCGGAGCTTGGTCTCGTTATTGGGGGGATTTTATTACCGGCGCCTAGAGACTGCTTATTGGAATTATTTGCCGTTTGGAAGATATTGGCGTTCGGCTAATATTGTCAGTTCGTGGATTTGGAGTTCGTGAAGGGAAAGAGCCATACAAGTACCGTTCGGGAGTTTGGAGTGTTCCCTAGCTGGTGGTTCGCATGGTTATACTGTACACGCTACCAGACCCCATTATTGCGAACGGGGAGCATTCACTAAACGGCGGTTTGCGCATTTATTACTGGAGGTACCGTAACAACTATGGTGTCCATCTTACTCCCAGTTGGTGTGTCTTGTCTCCTTATGTTTAAATGGAATAATATCGAATAGAGAAACTTTTGGGGAAAAAAAAAATATTCTAAAAAATGACAAAGTTCAAAATCTGCATTTAAACCTAAGGGGGCTAAAGTATTTAAATTGAAAAACAATTTTGTTTCTATTTGCCCTAATTTCCTTATTTCATCCTCCCCTCGCCAATTCAATGTGACCTTTTGAATGGCGACAAAAAATCGAAATTATTATGTATTAATCTAAAATGATCCGAAACACTATGTTTGTCATAACCTTTCTTTATATTCCGTATATGTACATTTCAGACACACCTAACATTCTAGCCTTCAAATGGCCAAATAAATGTTTGCATCACGTTTAATCAGAAAGGGAGGTAACAGAGCCTAAAATCATGCCTCAAGGATTCAAACAAGCAAAAGGTGAGTATGTCATATATCATAGTTTTACAGTGTTGCGTAGGTACACCTGCTAAAAATAAAATTTTGCTTGCTACATGTAAATGCTTTGCATTATAAGACATTATAATAAAGGACAAGATAATAATAAAAAAAAAAATATATGGTAATACAAACAATATGTGCAACATGATTTAATCATGAGGTGAACAGACCATGACACTATCTCAACCCTTTTGTGGAAGGTAATGAAATAGAAGAGGTTTGGGGGGTACTCAAGTTACTTGTAAGTCAGCTTGAAAGATGTGTTTGGAAATATCATATATATTTTTTTCTGACTTCTGAGCACAAATTATTTTGTTGAGATAGCTGAAAATGTGTGTCAATGCTAGTTTTAACACACCTGAGTACACAAAGGGATTGGTCAGTGTGAATCTTAGACCAGAAAACAGACAAGATACTCTTCGACCAGACATTTCCACTTCAGTCTCATATTTTGGTGTGTGGTTATTTGACAATAAAAATGTATTATTATTAATAAAGTCAATTGTGTAATTTGTCACATGGTCACATAGAAATTTAGGTTGAAAAAAGACTCAAGTCAATCAACATCAACCATACACATATTTGATGTTGTTAGTTCAAAAAAGGTAAACATTCCCGTGAAGGGATTGACACAAAAATGGAAATAAAGCCTCTTGACTCCATAATGCCAATCATATTTCTCATTTGATTAATAAGCTGTTCCCATACTCATTAAAGGGACATTCCACTGTTAACGTACAAAAAAATATCACTGCGTAGCAGATATAACCCCAATGTAGCTAAATGAGAAGTCTTTGCAGGGCCAGGACTCTCAGCAATTGCTTGACTTTTGAATTTTTTTTTTTTTTTACATTCTTTATTTTTGCAGTGCATTGAGATATGACAAACGAGCATGCGGTACCCCAACGGCAATCCTCATGCTTTTCGAGAAACCGTTATAACATTAGGGTTTGGTTAGTACTTGCACATTTTTATATTATAGGTTAAGCGAGGGTTTAGGTAAATTGAATAGTCAACTTAGTGAGGTTAAAACAGGCTTATACGATTCGAGAGCATGTTAAAGGTTAAATAGGCTTAATCTTACTA